GAATCCGACGTCAGGTATTTAGTCTGAAAGACATCTCTGACACCTTAGACGGTTATTTTGGAAGGAGACAGCCTATGTTTTGTGGCTCAGAACTACAAAATCGGGCAACGGGCACCACAGCTCTTTGCCTGTGCAGGTCTGTAAGATTCAAAGCACTGCCACCACACGATGTGAGCAGGAGCTATGGAACAACACTCTTCTCTAAATGGTAGTTAGCGTTGTGGGGGATTATTTTTTATTTGTTTAGATAGCAGGATAATCCCTGCGGGGCGCCACTTTGGAGCGCCACACAAAAAACTATAACACACCTTCTAGTCTTCTGATAGTTTCAACTGAGTAATATTTTTTCTTTGAACTCTAGGAAGAGCAGCTCATTTACAAAGTTATCTGAATGAACTGAAAATTGCTTTTGAGGTCACAGATCCCCCTGCTTGCTTAGCATTTGCTTACATAGGAGGAAAAAAAAACCAAAACAAAACAGTTTTCACCGCGTTTCCTCTTCCCACCACATTCAGGACACGGAACAGAAGGTAGGGAGTCTCACGGCAGATACCAGAGCCTAGGGAGAAAAAACTAAGGCAACTGCACTACCAGGCAAGCTAGCTGCAGTGAAGCAAGCTGGCTTTCAGATTTCTGGGTCTCATCATCTCTAACAAAGATAACAGACAACTTTCAGGGCACTAGCTTTGCAGAACAAGCCACCTTCAGGTGCAACAATCAATAGCACACATCAAGGCACTGCGAGCAGCAAGCGCTTTACCCAAATGGGAATCAACAACCAAAAAACCCCAACAACTCAAAACCAAGCCGCACACACCAACAGGTCTGCACCAGGCATACGGCATGTGAATTTGTTTGAGACACAAAGCTGTGCTCCAAGATGATGGTTCAAGAGAAAACAGAAGCCTTCCAAATACCCCGAAAACTCTGGAGGCACCTCCAATCATATGAAATACTAAAACTACTACAGGACTGCTCAAACTCACCATTCAGTAACAGCAAAATAATCTGATCACCTTCAACTTACTGGTTAAACTAGAGTCGGCTACAGACATTATCAAGTGCTAGAAGAGAAACAACAGAATTAGTATTTTCCAGTACAATGTCCTTGGACTATAACTCCTGTAATCACCATGTTCACAAACACTCTGAACTGGTGATAGAAGGGCACAGAGCTCTCAAACAGGAATTCAACCAAAACACGTAGATGATACAGCAATAACACCCCCGTCCAATGTGAATATAGTAAACAGAGAACAATTAAGTCAGAATGATGGGCTGTGGAATAAGCCATGTAAAAGGTGCGTTCAAGAACCACACATTACAGAAAATGCCACTGCAGGACAGACATAAATCCTTTGCAGATCTAGAGTTGTGAGTCCACAGGGTACACGGATGCAGAGCTCATTTTACTGGCAATAGATCAAAAGGATGGAAAGGACTTAAAGATGATCCTGAAGTGGAGGTATTTAGCAGAAAAATGGAGGCTATTTCTTTTATAAACTGCTCTTGCAACATGAGAACACACATGGTCTGCTGGTAATCCTGCTACAAGATAAAGTGACTGAATGATACGTTTCTCAACTAAGAAAAATCTTTCTGATTATCTTACCTAATCAGTGATCAGATTTGTTGGACATCAGGTAGACGGACTGGAGCAAGAAGGCTTGCAAGAGCTGCAGAAAACACCATGTCAGGTGGGACAGGAATTCTGACCCTTTCCTCACAACAGCAGGAGTCCTCACGGCTGAGACCACAAAGGCCAAAAGGTGTTAAAACATTCAGATTTCTAGATCACCTGCTTTTGTGGATCTGACTCCTCAGCCCCATCAGATTCAGCTCAAGTTAAATAGCTGAGGATCGCTCTCTCCCTCCCAATATATTCTCCCATCTCAAGAGACATGACTCCAAAGCTACAAACAAACCCGGACGAGAGCAGGTTAAAGCCTGTTCTCCATCGCTGAGTTACAAGGCCAGAGCCCATTTCAGCTATAAACAGATATGATGTTAATGAGCAGCACAGAAACATCCATGAAATGCTTCACAACCTTTGTGCCTTATACATCATTTTAATATCCCTAGAACAGCGTTATTTTAAATCCTACAGTTGGAAGGAAAAAGGCAATTATTAGTGCCAGACAGCCCAGGCCCTTCAGATTTCTCTGTGGCTGCAAGGGTGTCAAAATACAAAGTCACCTTGCACTTGTGTGCCACGAGCATAAGGAAAGCAGCAACAGCAATGGTGCTGATCAACACAATCCGAGACAAGCATGGGTGCTGTGCCAACCGGGCGTGGAATAAAAACAATACGAATTAAATAAAAAACAGAAAAGAAAGCAATTGCTACTGACCCTACCTTCACTTCCTGCTGCCCGGCTATACCGATACGAACACATGATAAGATTTTCTTTCTGACCTGCCAAAGTGCGAAAGAATCTTCAACGCATCCCCATTCCCATTTGGAAAAAAAGAAAAAAAAAAATCTCCTTTTACAGAATTCATCCAGTAACCAGAAGCTCCCCATTACAAGAAATCAAATTAAGATACTATTCAAACCAGCAAAGTACTCAGCTGAAACAGGCTGGTAAGGACACAATTTGCCTGTCTGATTCTTGTAAATACCTTCTTGTTTGATTTTCTTGTTCTTGTGTTATTAATAAATTATACAACAATACTGAACAGTATGTTGAAAGAAGTAAACTTTAATTTTAAAGGTTCAGCTAGAAACCCACAATTACACTTTAAACTACCAAAAACCTGCAAGCAGAAAGAAGTGCTCGTCAGCTACATGTGCAGTTCAAATGACCTCAAACAAGGGAGAAGGCAGTCTGTTAAAAGATGAAACATATTTTCCTCTTCTAGTGCTGAAACGTAACTTTTTACTCCCAAGCTGGGTGTTGATTTACATGCAAGGCTTGTACCAGGTAAGTCCTGGTAAGCCAGACGGCCCCACAAGCACACAGCATCATGTTTAACCAGCGCTCCTGCTCCAGGTACTGCAGCGTGATACACGACGTGGCATGCGGGGACGTCCTGGCACGGTGCTCTCCTCTGCCCCGTGCCCACCTGCAGCATGGGCAAAATTGCAGAAGACGCAGCCAGACCAGCTATAAACAACAGGAGAACACATTACACTGTGCAATCACTGGCCAACTGCACCCAAAAATAGCTTAAATTGTCAAAGAGCTGCTAAAAAATACTTCTTGTTCACAGCACTCAACTGTGGCATGTTATTTTTCTGAAGTGCAGCACGTATTTCAGCCTGGAGAACTACTTCTGATTTCCAGAGCAGGACAAGGGTAGAAGGATGAGAAGGACCGGACTATCGAAGCACATTTATAATGGAGATCTTACATCACCCAGCGTTCAAAGTATGCCACCAGGAAGATGTCAAGCACCAGAGCGTAAAGCTGATGTTTTGTCCTGACCACACCAGGGCAACGAGCTTCCCACTGGCAAACCATTACCAGGGTTAGCAGGGACTACGAATAAACTTCACATTTTGTCCTTAATGAGAAACAAAAGCAAAAATGTCAAGCTTCTGCTGAGATATTTTCTGGGTGGTTTAGCAACTATCCTTCAACAGTACCTTTTATTAGTTTGTTAGAACTAACGCATACTAAAAATAACCAACAAGAACACCACCATCGTCAACAACTGCATGCATGAGGCCCCACCAACCACCAGTTCAGTGAGTGACAGATCCTTACGGTCTGGTCCGACTTTGAAGGTGTAAGAAGCATTTAATTAAAACTCTTCCCTCCAAGAAGGTCTAAGGCCTATTATTCCTTGCACAATCAAGAACAGGGACAACCCAAAGCAAGCCAGAAAGGACCTACCGCCCGTTGATTGCCCCATCAGTGGGCTCTGACTTAAGGCTATCGGAGAGAGGAGGGCTGTGAGCAACACCTTATCACGTTAACACCTCGGTGTGTTTGACTCCTGCATTTCCAGAGGTTACACCAACCAGGCTTGACTGGAAGACTAAAAAACTTTTCAGGTCGTCTTTTCCAAGACTGCAAACCCACTATTGAGAAAAAGCCAGCTGTGCCGAAGTTAGTGAGCAAAGAAATAACAAAACCCTTTTTGCAAATCACAGCTGAAGATGCGCAGAGAGCTTCACAGGTGGTACCAGCATTGCTGTTGCGCAAAAGGCCAAAGATGCACCAGCATCATTTCGTTGGGAAAAATGAGAGTAACCTCGACACAGATAACACTGGTTACTCTTACAAAAAACCCCCTAGATTCTTGCAACTAAGCCACACAACCGTATCACGGGGAAAGCATCGCAAACGATTCATAAACGCCTTCTTGAAACCACAGCTTAGAAGCAGGAAGACAAAAATTACATTTTTGCTGGCAATTTTAAGTACTAAAAATGTAACTTCTTGAACTTTGCTTTAGCAGGCCTGAGCCCTATAGACTCATAAAATACCACTGCACTGCTGAAAACCAAGGGCAGCGAGACATTATTAACAGTAATAAAGTTCTTGAGCTTGACAGAGCATTCAGTGTTCTCTTAAAATGATTAAAATGAACAAATCCTCCTTAATTGTATTAGCGTTGGCTACCTGAGGGAACACAGCTCGCTCGCTAAAAGAGGGAGAGGAGACGAGCCATCTGACAGCAGGCTCACCTGGCCGCTCCACTCCTCTCTCCTCTGCCCTTCTTTTACTGCCGTAGCAGGCACCCAGCGCACGCCGAACTGCGCTTTGCCTTTCCCCTTTGCGATACAGAAGTTTTGAGATCTTCAGGCGAACTATTACAGATGGGATTGTAACCTAAACGCAGAGTACCTCCAGCTCACGGAATTCAGCGACAACATCTCCCACAGGCTTCAAGGAGGCCGGGTTTCCCCCCGGAGCCGGTCTCTCGGCAGGCTGCTAATGAGCGTGAAAACCCACAGCGAAGCCACCACGTTCTCCTTTCCCATCTGGGCTGCTTCAAAACACCGTCATCTGGAGGAGAGGTCCAGTGGGCTGGGTCCGCTGCCAGTAGCTATGTACCGGACACCTTGCCTGCTACCCAAGGGACCTCCAAAGTACGCTCCAGATGCCGGCTGGGGGACAAGGAACAAACCGCTGGCGGTGGAGTCCCCAGAGCTGAAAAGGAGCGTCCACTTCTTTTACGTCAAAGTTTGGCTGCAGAGATCTTGAGATACTGCAACTCCGTACCTCCTCCTTTCAGCTGAAACCCAGCTCTGAACACCTTCTGCAACTTTGGTGCTGAACATCCAAACAGCGCAGTTTAACAAAAGCGCATAACTTAAAAAAAAGAGCCTAATTTGCAAAAGAAATGCTGCCAGCTCTATTTTTAGTCGAACCAGTGTTTCCCCCTCCCCAGGTCCAGAGCACTCCCTTGGGCTATTCTGAGATAAACCCAAGTCCTTAATTAGAGCTTTCAGAGAGTCCAATGACACACGGAAGGTAAAAGCTTGAACTAAAACAAACGAAAAAGTATTCTAAGCAATTTGTAGTCGGGCAGCAGGCTACATCGTGACTCTTTTACCAAGCAAGTGCAAGGTTACCGAGATATCAAATGGGAAACACGCATCTCAGTCTCCAGGGTTTCCTCTGGAGCAAGCCGAATGTTATAGATTTCTAGAGCCAAATTAGATTTTGTGTTTGAGCCAAAACAACGTCCTTTAGAATACAGAAACACACAAGAATAAAAAAATTTGGGTCTTATTAGGGACGGAGAAGGAATTGCCCCAGGAAACGGCCTCGAAAAAACAAGTCGTGTCCCCTTCAGCACACGAGTACGGCACAAAGGAGCCTCCAACACCGGTGAGGAAAATCCCCCTGTCCCTCCCCACACTCACACGGTGCGACCCGTTTCTGTGAACTACCAACACGTGGTGGATGTGACACAAGAATGCCTACCCAAACACACTTTTATACGATTCCCCCCCCTCCCCCCTGAGCTTCCTCCACAACTGTATTGAGATGAAAGAAGCCGCTTCTCTCTGCAGCCCACCCGGTGCATCTGGAGGCCCCAGCAGAACTGAACCTGCACAAACACACAACTGCTCCAAACACGTCAGTTTTCCAGCTTGGAGCGAAGCGCTGTCGGCTCATTTAACAGTTAAAAAGATGGAAAACTCGGTGCCAATCTCTGGGATTTGAAAAACCCAGTCCTGAACCTAAAATCAGATAGTGTGGAAGCAAAAAAAGGGATGCAATTCCCTTTTTAGATGCCAGATTTCTTATTTTTCTATTACAAGTAGCCATCTCGGCACCTGCCTTGTTACCTCTCGCTGGCCCAAATTTCTTTCATTTCAACTTGGAGTCAAGTTACTGAGAACAGGCAAGAATAAACGGAGAAGTGACAACAATTCTTAATCAGTGCGATGATTTTTTTAAATTCAAGGCAAATGAAACAGTCAATACAGAAAGTCACAGAATTCATCATCATCCTACAACAAACGTTCTCCCACAGGAATATTGACACTCAGTAAGTCATCCCATTTTAGGACAGCAGCATGGGAAACACCTAAGGGGCCGGGAAAGCAGAAGAAAAACAAAGATGACACAAATCCGTTTCCAAGAAGGGGAAGGGGACTCGTATTTGCCCACAAAGCTAATTGTAACAACATCCTCACTGCTTGCCTCTGTCTCTACTGTGAACAAGTCTAAGTGATGCTTACAAGACTTGGAACAGACAGAATTATTAATTCAAAACAAGGTCGTATGAGCTTTTTGGGAAGTGGAAAAGTCAGCGTACAGCAATTTGCTTTAAGACTGTAGGACTTCTTTTCAGCCACACAAAATCATCTGATTCTCTCGGCTCCTGTATCAGTATCACTGCGTCCTTTGTTTCCAGACGCTGAACAGCCCCCCCTTGAAGAGCTGCTCAACAGGAAAGCACCACAACTAGCTTTGACTACGCAATTCCCACCAACAAAACTGGTGGGCTCGCTCACAATTTGCATAATGTCTGTTTTTTAAAGACGAGAACATGATATTCTCTTTCATTATGGCCTTAAAAGTTTGTCTTTATTCTTACTGTCACTCCCTATTGTAAAGTAAGTCACTTCAGCACCGATGCAGTCTATAAAAAAAATGTTTTTGTGCTTCACCACGTATTAGCACACCAGGTACAACTGCAGGAAGTTCCGCCGTGAACATGTAACACCCAAACCAAAGCTCTCACGAAGCAGCAGCAAGACTTTACTAACCTGCCGAACTCCGCACAGCTTTTGACAGCCAGTATTTATTTGCAAATCCCTGTTTCCATTAAAACAGGACCAACTCCCACAGCATATGCCATAAAAACAACTCTCTCAATTATTCACACTGATAGTCAACATCTCCCCGCGACGCTGGATAACTCAATAACCATTCTGTTAAATGAACATGATGTTTGGTAGGGGAGTCTGTGCAACTTAGCTCAAATCATGTCCAAAAGGCTGGCGCTTTGGGCTATGGAAAGACCTCTGACCAAAAATTTAATCTATTAATAAAAACCACTACTTCCTCCAGCCACAAAAATCCACAGTTTTAATGGGAACCTTGCGCTCTCCTTTCTGAAGGGAACTGAGCGAGACTCCTCAGAGCTACAGCTTAATGCCTTTACCTGGAGCAGAGAGAAGAAAAGACAATAAAAAGCAAGCGAACCCCCTCCAGTTACAGCACATAACGATTTTGTCGGCTATATTTGTCCCATACAGGAACTGCACCAAGCTGCAGGTGCCTTAACCGTATTTGCAAATCAGTTTTCCTCCGAGTGGAACATCTTCCAAGCCTCTGACGTTAAACTTTAACTAACCAAGTCGAACACGGCAACTGCAACCCTGTTCTTACGGCTCAAACTTCCATTTGCTCAATTCAATATTTAACAAAGAAAAGCAGGGTACGAAGCACAGTTTTAAAGCAACAAGAGCAGCTGTTTCACCCGCCTCCGGTGTCAAACCGCAGGCTCGCCAGCTAGGATCGAAAGGTAGGGCTCGACTCACGGCAAACAAATTCAAAGTTTCTTCAGTAAATTTAGAGCCTGTGAATTGTTTAATAATGCAGTAATTCCTCTCCTCCCCCGAGACTACCCGAGAGACATTTGCCAGCAACCTTGCCAGACAACCTGAGAGCCGCACGGCTCTGTTCTGAGTTAATAAACTGCTCACCCTTGTGGTTCACAAGGGTATCATGTGAAGAATATATTTATTTAAAAGTTGCATAGATAATATGTAACTACCAGTGCCATTACAGTTTAGCCAGTCTTTTGGACACCATGCAAATCCTGTGCAGGTTCAGCTAAAATATCATGCAAAAAAAACCTCACCGTTTCCCCAGCGGTACCTATTTTTAATTTTTCTGTCGGTGACAGCACCGACTCTTCAGAGGGTTTTCCATCCTACCACGCAAGCCTGACTCGGTTAAAGCCACTGTCACCTTTGACTCGCCTCCCGGCTCCTGTCCACGACAGTAACGCGCTTATCCACGCGGGGTTTTGTGCTTGACGCCAACCAACACAGTTTACCTAACCGCCGAGTCTCCCTCGCAGCTGGAAAATAAAGCAAACAGGGCTGGGAAAGGCAAGGATGCAAACCCCAAAGCCGGGGCGAGGGACGGCGGCTGCAGGGGCCGGGCTCCCGCAAAGACAGCGGGAGAGTGGCGGCAGAG